TCAATGGGCTAAAAAACACATGCAGAAAAACTGCTCCTTTAAGTTCATGTCACATGATCTGCGCTTCAACTGAAAATTTTTTATGAAATATTACTTAATATTCTGACTCTTGGGAATATTTGTAATCGAACGAAAGGGAAAATTTAGTGTGATTTCTCTTTTGTTCTGGTAGTAATTGTGACCTGTCACAACAAAAAAAAAGTAAAGTCGCATCACACTCTTTCCTATTTTTAGGGGATTCAAAGTTATAATGAAGTGGGGTCAATTTTTGGGTTTTGTAATAATTGAAAAGAGTAACCTGTGTCCTGTATTTAGTTCCAAATATTTTGCAGAATCACATATTTAAAAATGGCATTTTCTCAGCAATTTTGATGAAAGCGTTGCTTGGTCTGAAATGTTGAAACAATGTCAGGAGCAAAGACACAAAGCTGCCAGAATAATGTCACTTTGTCATCTGATACTTTTACTCTAAGTGTTCCATGTACGTGCCATTTGAAAGCTCTCTTTCTGCTGAATTAAAAAATACCAATATCTCAATTTTTGAAAATTTTGACTTTCAGCTCATCTTGTGGTGACAGGTCACAATTCTCGGTCAAAGTTGAGGACTGCTCGCCCATTAAGCGTGATAATAGTGTGTAGTAGAAAAACGTGTGCAAACCTTATGGTAAAATATGAAATATTCAAGTGATTGATGATGTCATCATGACAAATTTGTTCAAGAACCATCCTTGGATAATTGTCTGAAGGTCTGCCAAGTTTGAAGTCGATCAGATGTATGAAACTATCAAATGGGACAACAAAACGTGTCTGAAAAAGGAAAAAAAAAAGAAACGAGAGGTCATCTGTCTGTTTGCCGACAGAACAGAGGGCTTTTTCGCATCCCTTTCTTAAGTTGAACAACCAATCTACTGCACAAACCTGATGGCGTAAATCTGTCATCATGACCATTTTGGTCCAAGGTTTCAACCCAATCAGGTATGTACTTCAGGAAATAATGTGCTTTAGATAAAATGTAATTTGACTCCTCATCCAATGAGGTCATTATCACATCAGGTACATTTTCGTCTTGAACACTTCCTTTCCTTGTTATCTGCAAAGTTTGAAATTAATGGGATACATGTACAGTATGTACTTCAGGAGATATAGGGCTTTAAACAGTGCGCCTGTATAGTCACGTGACTTGTCTCCCGATGACATCATCACCATGAGTTCAATAATCTTCTACATCACTACCCTTTCTAGTTATCCACAAAGTTTACCCCGATGGAGCATGAATGCCAAGGGATATAGGGCTTTAATGTCATATGACTTGTCACCTGATAACGTCATGAGATCAATAGTCTTCTAAATCCCTTCCCTTTCAAGGTATCTGCAAGGTTTGAACCCAATTGGATGTATACTTCAGGAGATATCGACTTTTAAATTGTGCACCCTTAATGTCATGTGACTTGTCTTTTGATGATGTGGTCATCACCTGAGGTCAATATTTGCCTGAACCACTTCCCTTCCAAGATATCAGCAGGGTTTCAACCCAATCCAACAATGACTTCAAGAGATATAGCGCTTGGAAGAGTGGGGACCTTTAATGTCATGTGACATGATCATCTGATGACGTCATTATCACATGAGGTCTATTTCGTCTAAAACAATTCCCTTTCTAAATACCTGCCAAGTTTCAACCAAATCAGACATGCACTTCAGGAGATATAGTACTTTAAAGGATGCACCTTTAATGTTTTCTGACTCGTCTGCTGATGGCACTGTCACCATGTGAGGTCAATTTCCATGTGTAAACCTTCCCTTCCCAACTATCTGCAAGGTTTCAACCCAATAAGACATGTACAATACAATACAAAACATTATTCTTATTGTGGAAAGAGCGCAGATTTGAGATTTTAAACATTTGTCCCTTTTGGCATTCCTACAATGCCATTTGCTCTCCGCACCATGTGCTCGGCATTTTGCCAAGTCCTTAGTATATGCCCTACGCACTTGCGCTGTGTACGTTACTGGCAGATATTGGGCGTCCATGCACACAGTAACCAATGCACAGTATGCGAATGGGATTTTCGAGTTCGCAATTTATATTGTAAGGGGGGGTTGACTAGGTAAAGATGATCATCTACATCAATTTTCAGGCAGTTCCGTCAAACTTCACCTCAGACATCTATTCAAGATTCATTTTGCGTAAATTTTCACCTGTCGCTAGAGGGCGCTCGACAATTACATGACGTCATCAGTAGATGAGTTGAAGAATACGAAAACCAAACAGACTAACAACATTGAAAACAACTTGATACCTACTGCCACTTTTAAACAATAACCCCTCTTCCGGTTTCGACCGGAAGGAAGGTCATGTGACTTAACCATAGAGGAAGGACACAGAAGGAGTTTGAATTGCCTGGGCTATAACACCTGGCATGCCAGGTATGTCCATAGCCAGAGTGCAGCGAGCGCTTGCTATGCACCATCTGTTTCATAACCACAAAATCCCTTTGTACCTATGATCACCGCTGCAATTTTTCGCTGATAATCTGCATCCTTAAAACTTCGTGTACTGAGGTATAGGACATTTAATAGTCATACCTTTGTTGGTACCTGGTATGATCTCATGACAACATCAAATTTAATGCTTGCACAATTGCTTGCATTACGCCTTGTGCCCTAAATCTATATGTGCAGTCATTGCCCTGAACCACTTCCTGCCGGGGACTCCGGAATCGGAGACGTATGCTTTATATGCATGGCCGGGGTCTCTGAACGCGGACAAAGGAAACGGGGCCCTGTAACAAAAGCCGTACCCCGAACAAAAGACCAGGCTGCTGGGCATTAGCAACATTTTTCACTCTCAAAAGTGGTGATAATTACCACCGGGGACAAAAGCGCCACACAGCACCGCTACACCCTAATCTGGCCCCTA